AATGCAAATGAAGCCGAGCAGCTGGTTGACATGGCACCCAGCTGGCGAATCGGGGAGCTCGTGATGGCACACGCCCCCCTTGGCTATACCCGCCACTCACCTGGGCGCTGTTGGCTACTGTGAGAACCCTTCCACTGCGGGAGCTGTCTGCCCTTACCTATCACCCACACTGTCACCTGTCTGTCCTGTACTTTCACCTGTGTCATCTATACTGTTACCCATTTGACTTACACTGTCATCTGTGATATATTCAGTCACCTTCTGCTATATACTCTCACTGGTGTTACCCACACTGCTGCCTGTCTAACCCAATCACCTGTGTCACCCACACTATCACTTGTGTAACTCAATCATCTGTGTTTCCCACTCTCACAGGTCTAACCCAATCACCAGTGACCCACACAGTCACCTGTCTAACCCAATCACCAGTGACCCACAGTCACCTGTCTAACCCAATCACCAGTGACCCACAGTCACCTGTCTAACCCAATCACCTGTGTGACCCACATTGTCACCAAGCCTCTCTCGGAGCATTACTGGTTACCCGTTCCAACACCCGGGCAATCTACCAGTGCACGCACGCACAAAAGCAGGATTGTAATTATTTCTTTGTGGGGACTCTCCATTCATTTCTATGGGAAAAATTCTAATCCCAACAATAACAACCTTAACCCCTACCTAGCCCTAACCTTAACCATAAATAACCAATCAAAATACAAGACTTTTGGCATTTTTACTTTTGTGATAGCATTCACATGTCTTTGTGGGGACCTGAATGATGGTCCACACAACGTGAAAATGATGATAGGTTTTTATTATGTTGTGGGGGTCATTTGGTCCGCACAATGTAATATACACATAATCCGCACGCACGCGCACACACACACACGCACGCGCACACACACACACCTGCATGTAACCGGTCAGTCTCCACGTCTCGCCCACAGGAAAACGGCGGTGCTGCCTCCCACCTGCTGGCAACATGACATAGCAGCACCTGTCTCAACCCGGATCAGGCCGCGTGCTGATTACAGCATCGCTATGGCAACGCCACTGATGAGGCTGAAGGACCCAAGAGGTCACGGCGCAGAGCCGCGCCTGAAACAAAAAACGAGAGGCCACTTGATGAGGGACAAAAAAAACGTTCTGTGCGGGCAGATCTGGGGGAAGCGGCGCCTACTGACGGGCCACAGGAATGATGTCCGAGCTGCCCCTCCCCCAAACAGTCAGTACCGTGCGAAAAGTATAAGTCACGTCACATCGGCATTCTAAACAGCTCACAAGAAACAGGCTCTTAGAGCATCACCCGGCCAAACTACTCAACAGTGAAGGTCCATAGGTCAAAGACGCAAAAAGTTCCTGCAACCCCTAACTATTTTAACAAACAAACATGAAGCGAAATCCACACAAACGTAATTGAAAACACACTAAGATATTCATACGTCCAGCAGCCCGAGAGATCCACCATGTTCCCGCCGCTATGACATCATTGCCCTCGCTCTCTGTTGCAGCTGGCTCCATGAGGAACGCCATCGCCGATCTCCAGTGTCAGTGTGCAGTCATCCAACACTCACACTTTTCCAATTATCGCTGACTGCGAAGGAGACATTTTGTCGTGGAGAGAGCTGACAGGCTGAAGTCTCTGAATGGTCCAGAGGATGCAGACTCGTCGAGAACATCTCATAACCACCTCGTCTGTGGACCTTCAGCTCCAGAGTGTCCATGCCTGGTTGACAGCATGTTCTGTTCTCATTCCAAGGGTGAAATAACTTGAGTTCATATATCATACTTCCCTACATCTTCTACAACAACTTATCCAGTGCAGGGTCTTGTAATTCTGGAGCCCATTCTAAGAAGCACAGGGATGGGATATCAACATGTGATACTTTCACTCCTCTCCTCCCTCTTGCCCATCTTTATTCACAACTGGATGAGATGCCAGTCTATGGCAGGGCACAAAGCAGGAGACACTTTGGTAGAATGTCAGTCCACTAGAGGGCACACACATCGACAAGCTCAGGCTACAGACAGACACGGATTCACCTAAACCTGAAAGAAAACCAGAGTACTTATGGGAAACCCATGTAAACATAAGGAGGACATGCATGGGGTCAGCATGCGTCTCAGCAGGTTAGGCTTCTGTATCCATGATTGGAAGGACATGGGTTCCAATTCTGTACTTGTAGAGTAGCCACATCTCCACTAGGATCATTTTATGACCTTTTATTTCCGCTACCCCTTTAAGGCTGTGCTACCTGGAGACCCTAAAATATCAAGAAATTCTGCATTCTCTGTTGCCTGCGGCACCTTTCCGGCCTGCTCGCCCTTCTGCCTGTGGCGCCTTTCCGGCCTGATCGCCCTTCTGCCCTTGGCGTCTTTCCGGCCTGCTCACCCTTCTGCCTGTGGCGCCTTTCCGGCCTGCTCGCCCTTCTGCCCTTGGCGCCTTTCCGGCCTGCTCGCCCTTCTGCCCTTGGCGTCTTTCCGGCCTGCTCACCCTTCTGCCTGTGGCGCCTTTCCGGCCTGCTCGCCCTTCTGCCTGTGGGGTCTTTCCGGCCTGCTCGCCCATCTACCTGTGGCGTCTTTCCGGCCTGCTCGCCCATCTACCTGTGGCGTCTTTCCGGCCTGCTCGCCCATCTACCTGTGGACTTTCCGCACTGAAAATTACTCCAAGGTTTCTGATAGATAGCTGACCCAGTGTTCAGACCCCACGTTCTCACTATGTACAGATACAAATGACAAATAAAGCTTCATGTCATTTCAACTCCATATAGACAGAGCTGGGTGCAGGAACTGACCCCACACGCCCTGGAGATGTAAGGCTTCTCCACTGCCCTTGAGATCTCATACATAAGTATGTCTTTTAAAAACATAGAGGCTGCGATAACAGCTGTGATGTGAGAGACTGATTCAAACGATCCTTGCCAATGGACCCTGACATTAACCCCGTGGTGGGACGTGAGCAGGGTCTCGCTCCGAAACATGAGTGGGCCTTCCTGCTGGTTTTCTGAGGCAGCAGAAAGGTGAGGTGAGAGCAGGCTTTTACTTCAACGATGCTCAGCAAGGGCCAAAAACAACACAGCGATCCCAAACACGCAGCGACACGCCACTGCAGGAGAGTGACGCTGCAGAGACTGGTGCAGGCTTCAGGCCCGGCTCGCCATCCGGCCTAAAAGCTGCCGACGTGCTGATGGGGAGGGAGCGCTTTTCCTCATTTAACACTTGGAGTTTGGCCACCATTTTCCTGAATTGGCAGAGGAAGCCCAGGTGATACCTGGCTGAGGCGACACTGGCTGGGACACCAGCTTTACATGCTGCTCACAACTGGTTCACTACACTGGGCGAAGCCAGCTGTATGAGGCTCCACAGGGAGAGGGGTCATCTTCATGGGGTCCAATACACTCTATTCACTGCAGTTAATATAGTGCTGTGAACCATGACCAAATTCCTGCAAGGAACCCTGGCTGGAAACTCACCCCACCACTCACAACATGTAACCCCCAACCTCATCAGATGATCCACAAAGCCAAAAAGCCTCCTATTGTTTGTGGTGAAAAAGGCCACAATCACAAAAAAAAACACAAGACAGATAGGTCAAAATTGTCCCACCACTCACCTTGCTAAACACTGACCACGCTCCTCTATCAGCCACACCCACTTACTGACCACACCCATTCACTGACCACACCCCCAAGCAGCATTCAGCTCAAGGTAAAATCCACACTCCTACTTTACTTTTGTGTTTGTATTTATATCCATCCAGTCATCTTCCAAATTGTTATCCAGTACAGAGCTGTAGAACACATACGAGGGACTACTGTGGGGCTCCTGATAACAGGCCAGTACTGTGCTTCATCACTTCCAGAAAGGTCTGGAACCACACTATCTGCTGGTACTGCTCACTAAGCAGCCCGGAGAAATTGCCAGGTCCTGCTCTTGCTGGATTTCTGAAGTGGCCAAGCTGGCAACCCTCTGAATCCATTAGGATGGTCTTTAATCTGGGTGGCCCAGTGTGTCACAGCGAAACTCATGACCTGGGAGAGACCCGCCAGGTTGCAGGAGTAAGGAAGCCACAGCAGTTCGGCTCGTTACCGTTACATTATTTATCGAAGGAGTCGGTGTTCTCCATTTCACTCCACTGGCCACTTGCTGACTCCGGTCATCCAAGGAACCATCCTCTGTGGACCGCCAATGGGCCGCCCTCCTGAAATCGTACTCGCTCATGTTTTGGCCACGAATCTGATCTCTTAACCACTAAGACCCCCACAGATAGTTTCCAGAAGCTGGAAAAGTTCTTCAGGATGACGAGACACCTGATCCCTCTGCGGCCTCTCCGCGAGTCTTTCAGCACAAGGGGCAACCCTCACATGACCCAGGGTCCGAATAAGAAGGCAGCGTCCTCAGAAACAACACCCCAACCCCACCAAACTGGAGTCTGACTCAATCCGTGACCTCTGACCTCAGAGCAGTAGCTTTGCAGGGGCTGTAGGAGTCTGTGTCAGATGCCTGTTTGAAACCCCTGAGCTGTTAACACAGACCAGAATCAGGTTCTGCAGTGATACAGGGCCCTCCGGAAAGCACCTGCTGACAGGTCCTGTCGATTGGGGGGGCTGACCTGACACCCCAGGCACTGAGCCCTGGAAACAAAAGCGTCACACACAGCCGAATCAATGGTATCCACGGAGTAATCTAAATTCAACTGAGGCACGTGCCTGCCGGCGGGGGGGGGGGGGGGGTCAGGGCCTGATGGACATGGATGCCCCAGCCAGGTCTGATCCAAGAACCTGCCAAGAAACAATCTGGCCTGGCGAAGGGCGGGGTACAGAGGGCAAAGCAGAGCCATGGGATGGCGAGTCAGGCAGGTGATGACGGAGGACAATCAGGGGGCCGTGCTGCTGACAGGCTGCCATGCACTAACCCCCCCCCCCCATGGCATGCTGAGGCAAGGAGGACAGGGCTAGAGACTGAGCTCCGAGGTACAGCAAACAAAAACAAAAACATACCTTCAGTAAAAGAGCAGATCCCTCATCCTTCAATATGATTGTCCAGTATAGCAGTGTGCTGTGGAGAGATGAAGAAGAGTATAAGGTTGGGGTGGAGAGAAAAAGGGGGGGGCAGCGAGGTGGTTTTGAAAAGGTCAAAGGGAAAGGAGGTGACAGAGGTAGAGGTGGGGATGGCTCTGAGGAAGTGAGAAACAGGGGTGGGAGTGGAGGTTTGTTCTGAGGAGGTGACAGACCAGGGGGCGGGGTGTTGGGTATGAGGAGGTGACAGACTGAGGGGTG